GCGGTGGAATTGAATAGAACGTCGCGTTTTCATTTCCCACTAGGCGTCGTTTTGAATCCTACTGTTATTTCCTTAGGTAACTTCTACACATTGAACTTTGCTGAAGTCGTTTTGGGCGCTATCGCAATATACGGGGGCGTCCTCTAGGATCAAGCCCGGAGGGGGAACTTCGGAGAACGCGAAAATGGCTCGAGCATTTCTTCCCCCGCGTGGGGCCTAATCCTATTTTTAACAAAAATGACATGTTTCACGCAGTTTCAAATGCACTGCCTTCGCACTGCCCCGTATATTGCGATAGCGTCTTATTTTGTGAAATTCATGTTTATGCATATCTGTAACATAAAATTCACGAAGATGAGGTGAGGCGAGCGCTCACAAAATCACCTACGTCCCATGCGACCAAAAAATGAAAGCGCGTGCTGTCGTGGATGTGTAAGTGTCTTACATTGAATGATCCATGCCATTATGCACGGGTAGATAATGTTTACGGCTTGGGTGGTTGATTTTTAGGGGAAGTGGAAAGACGGTAGATTCCTTGCATTTACCCTGTGATAATTGCGGTGCGCAGCGAAATGATTGGCGCATTGTGACCGATTCTGATTTTGCTCGTATCCTATGCGCCACAGATTTGACCACAGATCACTTTCATATTTGATATAAAGTTTTCAGAATGCCTGCTGACGTTAAAGTGCCTCCAACTACGTATGAACGGCTCCAGAGATTCCAGGTTTGTTGAGCTTTTCTCAGTAAGAAATAAATGCGGAATGAGTCTTTAGCCTTAAGATTATGTCTAATTTATTCCCGGATCTTATGGTCAATCCGATTTCAGAAGGAGAACTCAGCCGCTCTGCGTCACCCCGATTCTCCGGACTGGTTTAATAAGGAAATTAACGAGAAAATGAAGAAGGATCTCCTATGGGCTGCACCTTATGACGCACGCTTCCCACAGGTATGTGTAGTTTGTTGAGATTTCGTTTTCTTCGGTGAAGCGCGCATCATCTTTGTTAAGAAACCCCGTTTCAACGAAAGAATGCAAGTAAAATAAGGGAGAGGGTAATTCTCCTTTGCTGCTTATACCAACTTGATTTGAGGACAGGCTCTCATATTCCCTCCGTGATAATGAACTTTATTTCTTCACAGAGCTTCGCCTTAGTGGTAAAACTTGCAATCTTACAAAATGTGTCAAGGAATTGTCGCTAGTCCGTTGCAATATGGCCTCCACAGTGTAGAATTGTTGAAACTGATGGTAAAGTTATTGGTTTGTGGTGTTACGGAGGGTGGATCCTGATTACCTAGGTTCTTGCTGCGGAAAAACGGTTTCGTCGCTGCAAAAAGCGGGAAACTTGCTTTTCGTCCTAGCAGCCGGCATCGGTGTAACGGTTCCATCCTTTTGCGCTGTGAAAGTACAAACTCACATTAACAGGATCATGTATTGTTCTGAAATGTGAGTGGAAACATGTATAGGGTTGTAACATCTTGATGTTGTGGGCATTTGTAAGCAACATTTTGACTGTGTTTTTAGTGTTATGATACTTATTTGGTCCGTGATTTTTTCATACTCTGAAGCGTGGCCGCGATAAGCGCGGAGGAGTCGGTAGTGCTCCCATACGATTCGCCTCTCCCTCCCTTTTACACGGCATTGAGGCAGCCGCCCGCAACACCGGGAGCACTGCCTACTCATTCGCCGCGGCCAAACGAAGTCCTACGCCTACTTATTCGCCTTCTCGCAGTGCTCAAAAAACACTATTATTCTGCTGTTTCATTCGTGTGAATTTTTGGCTACTGTTGTGTTTTAGGTCCGCAAGCAGCGTCAGTGCTTTGCGTATTACGTTGACTTTCACCGCTGTACTGAGTTGATGGGTAAGGACTACAAGCCTTGCAAATTCTTCCAAAACGTATACAAGGTCAGTTGAAGTTTGAATGAGCAAAATATTGGTTTGGTGTCTCATTAGTTTTGTTGTTTTCTTTACCTACTCAAGCGTGCTACATCATGAACTTCAATATCGGTATGAGTAGATTCTGAAGGGGGAAAGGACAGTCCTCGGGGAGATATTAGGGATTCCATCTTGTTCCTGTCACTTTCCATAACCGCTCTGGGGCAGCCCGACGTCGCGCTCTCAGCTGTTGACGGGCACTCAATAAGAGGATGGAACCAATTACCCATTTTCCTTCTCCAATGATTATCACACGTAACATCCATGTGATCGGATGGGTGATTGATACGTATCTACTGCACAAAAAGCGGAAGTTCGTAAAGTATGATTCGACTCCAAGTGCAGAAGAATCACAGAAAGTAGGGTGATTACGTACTGGCATGGTAGACTCTCAGTAACTGTCAGCATTCAAGAAGGGTGCTGGATGGATCTCTGGAGTGGTCTCGCAACGAATTATCAAGTTTGTAGGGTTGATGGTAACAGTGTGTAAGAGATAATGAAGCTATATAAGTGTTCTGTCCATTAGGCTCTTCACAAAGAGGTGGGGATTTTCAAGTTCATATCTCCGAAAGAGAAGCGACTGAAGCTTGAAAACTGCAGGGGAATCCTACAATTTTTTGCCATGTCTGTTGAATTACTTTCATTGTCCGTTATGTTTTAATTTTTCTGCTTTGAGCCCATCAAAGCAGCTGATTTCAAGCATTGATTTCATGTATTTCTTATGGTTCATAGCAATTATAATAGTAAATTCATTTTCAGGACTTCTGCCCCAATTTCTGGGTTGAGAAATGGGACGAGCTCGTTGAGGAAGGTCCGCTTCCCCGCCAAGTTCGATCGCTAGGATGGTCGCAACTACTTTATATATAGTGTAGACTGGATTCGTGATAAAGTTATCCTGTGAATTGTTCAGTGTTCATTCGAAAAGGTTAACGTGCCATGAATTTCTTCATCATGATCATGTAAATCAATAAATTTCTATTCTCCCCGTATACGGTACCTATACAAATGTCACAGCGGAGCAAGGGCAATATTGAGAGTTATGTGCTT